TCTCCATACATTCTTCTCTCTATATGCTGCTTTAATTTTGTCAACCAACCTTATTTTTGCAAGATTCGAAGTTTTCATTATCTGATGTCTGAGATTGAGAAAGAGATTGCTCAAAATAGTGATTGAAATAAGGTATTTTAATGCCAATCTTTTTTCAATAGTTTTCAATTATTTGCTGTGAATGTATTTTCTATTATCATCAAGCTATTGTCATTCTTAAACTCAATTTAACTACGTATTTATAGAATTTTAGTTAATTTAATTGGTGATTGTTGAAATTGAATTTTACCGACATTTTTGACCTTCTATGAATAAATTTAACAAATGTAATGGTAAAACATTGAGTAAAAGGGTTATTTTACCTTCCCTTCTTGTCAAGTAATAGATGGTTGCCTTTTATTTTAATTTTTGTGAGTGGGACGTATATATTCTATCCGTAAAATTTATCAGTTGTTAGATAATGTTCATTCATCTTCTATGCATTATTGTGTTATATGGCTTCAATCAGCTTGAGTTTTAGTTGCATCTTTAGTTTTTAGTTTTCATTTTATAAACTTGGGTTAAAGTTTGAGTGATGATTGGAATTTGAAATGAAATTTTTGTGATTATAACAAATAGATGGAATCAGACCATTAAAATGCATCTGATGTGTATGATATAAAAAAAAAAAAAAAGATAAACATTGTTGATTGAAGAAACATTGTTATTGGTATTTAATAAAAAAAAATTCACCTCCGTGCGATTTTGTTTTTACACAATGCTACCGATAACATTTTTTTCCACTATACAAATTTGATTAAATAAGTCAACGAAATCTTCACTCGCACATGAGGTGTCTCCGTGTGCCTCTGTGCGCACACGAGGTGCCTCCGTGTGTCCCAGTGAAAACTATCCTTCAAGTGAAGGAAGTGATTCGGACCTTCTTGTGCATTGGTGCCATGGTGTTCCTGGTGTTGCACTCACCCTTGTGAAAGCAGCTGGGGTAATTATTGTTGTCGTCTCTTGCTTTGATTGCAAATTCCATGCATAACCCCCTAAGAGGGGAAAGTAAAAAAAGTAAAGACTGTGCAATAAATGATTCTGTCCTAAGAGCTTGCAGGATATATAAGCACCCTCAACATAACTCAAATGTGAATGCAGTAATTATTATTTTTCTACTTGCTAATTCAATTATTACAGAACAGTTCTAAAAATGGAATGATGAGCTGGAGTGTATCCTAGGTTGTTTAATTTATTTAGTATTTGTTTTTTCTTTTCTCATTAGGGGTATGCAAGACTGGTAGCCAGGGTACGGGGTGATTGTCCAGTCTCAATGTAGATGTGATTGTATGAGCCCATGCTGAATCTTTTCAAGTGAAATGTTGAGGTGCACAGGAATTCATTTTTATGCTTTTAAACAGCAACATTTGAAAATCATAACTCATCTTTACTGTCCTTTGTCTCGAAGCAAAATATTTTGGGAAGTTAAAAAGGTTTTCCTCAAAATTATTTCTTCAATATTATCAGGTTTTTGGTAGCAAAGAGTTCCTACAAGCAGCTATTGATGCATGAGAGGTTGTTTGGAATCGAGGCCTACTTAAACGAGTTGGAATGGCATCAGTGGAAATACCAATGTATTTCTTTCTCTATACCGATTGACAGGAAACTTGAAGTTCTTGTATAGGGCCAAAGCATTTGCTTGCTTTCTGCATGACAAGGCTCAAATTCTCATATCAGAGGGCATTATGCATGGAGGTGATCACCCATATTCACTCTTTGAAGGCACTGGAAGAATGGCCTATCTGTTTCTGGATATAAATGAACCATCTGAGGCTAGGTTTCCAGCATATGAACTGTAGTTTTCTTTGTACAAAGAACAAATAGTAGATGGTTGCACTTATGTACTAGAGCCTCTCCTTTTAGTCAGTAAGTAGAAGTTTGTATAGAAAATACTAATGTCTTCATAGTTGACAAATTCTTAAGGTTTTATGTTCTCGTTGAAGTTTACTTCCCCTTGGCAGTGCAGCAGGTAATGCAGAATGTAACATTGTAACTAAAGAAAAAACGAATGCCTGGAGAATGTTTGAAAATCATAACCGGCAAATAGCATAGCTTGTCAGTTGTTTTTAGGAACCACATTCAGTCGAGCTCATATATGTTTTTTTACCCACAAATGTTATCCATGTCTAACAGTCTAGGTAAGATAAATAGATTGAGTGATTTTATTATAGATTATTACTCGAATTTGACAAGTCACATTTTTACAACTACAAGCGTCTCAATCAAAAATCAGGCCTCATGGAACTGGAGCTTCATCTGCCTAGGCAAAGATTAGTCTAAACGATGATCAAGTTTCTCACTGAGTTCCCATATTTTACGGGCTTTCTTTGCATCACTGGCTTCTGGAGACAATTGGTTCTCAAATGATGCCGATGCCTTGTTCCAGCTCCAGTAGACACATTCTTGTGTCTTCGTGCGGAGACTCGATATTCTTTTCTATTTTAGGCTATCAATTTGTCAATAACGTTAGAGTGACTGGATACAGAGTTGGATTTGATTAGTATTGTGTTGTAGATGGAAGTCCTATAACTGTCCTACCAACTCCTCATCATCCTTCAAGTGTTGGAAATAGAAAATCAAATGGGAAGCCCAAATGTGTAAAGCCTAGATGAAGACTTAATTGAGATCAGCTTTAATTGCTGCAGTAGTGCACCGTGTAGAGACATTGCGTCTACTAGAGCCAATAGGGAATCACAGTGAGGTTGTTGAGGAAAATCAATGCTGTCGAGGAAGGGAAAAAGATTGAGTTCTCACGAGGCAATGCGCACACGGATAAGGAGACATGTGTCTCCGTGCCGTAGAGACATGTCTTCGTGCTGCACGGAGACAATTTTTTTTTTTTTAACAGTGAGATACATTTTTTTAAAAATTATCCCAAAACAATTAGGTTGTGGAGAGAGAAAGAAAATAAGATTGGTCAATTGAAGATGGTGTTTAGACTTTTTTTTAATTGGATTATGTTATAAGTGTAAATAGTTGCAATGTGCTAATTGAAAACTATATTGTAATAATAAGATGTATATAATTTATTTTTTCTATATTTCGATATGTAAAAATGAGGGGCGTTGCCCCTTCGACTCTTGCGACCTGACTGCTCAGGTCGATTACCGCAGGGGGCGATGCCCCAGAACCCCCACGAGGAGAGCTGCCCTCTTGACCCCCACGACCTGACCTATTGGTCAACCCCACGAGGTGTTGCCCCCGAACACCATGATGGTGCTGTCCATGTGTGCTTTAATGTCATTGTACTAATAATCGTTAATGTCAGCCTTTGAGCTGATATTCATCTGTTTTGGTATTTTACTCAATCTGCAAAAGTTTTTCAAGTACAATTTTTCCTGAAATACATATTCACTGATGAGTTGATAGTTAATGTTATTTTCCTTTTTGAATTGGTGAACAATTTTGTCAGATTAGATTAATGTTTCATGTAATGTGTTGAGAGTTTTCAAATACAATTTTTCATATTCTCAAAGTTGAATCAAAATACCTTATATTTTTTTAAACATAAACNAAGTTGAATCAAGATAATATATATATTTTTAAACATAAACCATGTGAATGGATTGCATCTGATAAGAATGCTCAAATTGGTTTCTATTTGTATGGCGAGTTTGTAAATATAATTTGTATGTCGAGGCTTATTCTTTATTTTGTTACACACTTATTTTTAACATTATCCAATTAACGTGCAGCACACGTTTGCCCCACTAGTATTTCAAAATTTTTATAAAAATCATTTAATATGATTTTTTCCAAGTACATTGATAAATAAATTATTAATCGCACGTTCGATTCCTTTCTTTTTGTCGAAAATGTATTTTGGAATAATATTTTGATAGAAAATATATGGTTAATTTAATAAAGCTAGTTGAAAATTCATTAAATATTTTGCAGCACATGATTAGTACCATTTTCTCAAATTTTTGAATTTTTATATTCTTTACATTTATACTATATTAAATTTAGAAAATTAAATTAATATCATAATATTAAAAATGAAAAGAAGTTGGCATCAAATGTTTAAAGCTTAGATTGTTTTCGGTAAATATATGTAATCAATTTTAGTTTTTCCACTTTTTAAATGAGATAGCAATATTCATAAAAATGTGACTTTAGTAACTATGTTCGAGGTTGCTTCAACATGCAATTATTTCTGCTTTTTTAATCTTGTTTAAATTTTTTTCTTCCATTCACAAGTATTTAAAGGCGGTGGTAGTCTGCGACAACTATCAAATGGTATTATGTCAACAGACTTGTGGAACCAGGCTCAGAGGGCCGCTTCTTAGTGAAATTTGCATTACTTTCATCCGGTGGTTTGTTTCTCTTGATGCTATGTTCAACCTTGACATAAGTTGATATCTCGTGCATTGATTTGACATTAAACCTGTTTAGCAGATAATGAGATTTATTACATGCAAAATGACATCTAGTTGAATACAATGTAGCAGCACAGGTTGTGGGAAATATGATTTTGTAGGTCGAAGATTGGATCATTGTACAACGAAATAGCATATTTAAAAACATTACACCTAATGCTGATTCTAAATGACTTGTTCACACCCAAACCCACCTAATGCTGATTCTAAATGACTTGTTCACACCCAAACCACTGTGCCCAGAATTGATTCTAATGGATATTACTCGGTGGTTTGATTGTAAATTTTCCAGCATATGAAAAAGATCACAACTCAATACACAACAGAATGTAAGAATGGTAGAAAAGACGCTGGTATTCTCCAATTCAAAAGAAATAACATCACAGTTGTCAAGAGAAGCCTCCTTTATTTGGCATATTCTGTCAGTAGCTCGGTAACTCTGTACATGTATATTTGAAGTAACCTCAAATTCGTCGATCAAAACTTGGTGCTACAATAAGCCTGTGACAAATGGGATGTATACTTGAAATTGATCAATCCAACAAGGTAATTCTCACAAAAATGAACTTCTTGGGGGGGGGTTCAATCTGAATCCTTTCCTAAACCTGAAGATGAGTCTCCATTGTTATATTCATTCCCATTCACTGATTTTGATATGATTTCTTGATAGTTTTCCTCAGTGGTGCAGGCCCGATTTTTGCTAGATTTTGGACGAAAATTATTGCCCATTGGGAAGGGAACCTGTATAGGAAACAGGAAAATATCAGACATTTCATGTTCTTAGTTTCAAATGAAATAAAGAGTAGTTGGACTAGCAAAGTATCGTGCTAGGTCAAAAGAAAGCTACAAATTTCCCAGGTAACGACAGGCATATGCATAATGACAACCAACCCAATCTCCACATTTTCACCATATAAAATGATAAATCAATTCTGAAAACAGGGACCTCATATTGATGAAGATAATGAGTGCATCTGGAAAAATCCACTACGTGCCAGGGAAGCAGTGTTTGTAATTGTACCTGATCACCCGCATTGGGACCGTCTCTATGGAAGAGTATAGGGCGACATTTCTTGTCTTCATTCATCAAGCTTGAATTCTGGAAGTGGGCAACGAGTGCAGCTTTTCCTTGTATACGACCATATGCCAGGGATGCCACTTTTTCACTGTTAAACTTTTCCCATTTCTTTCCATTGAATGTCTGCCAAGAAGGCCAGTTATTCCTTTTTTCCTTGAGCATTCAAATAGTGACAAGTAGGACCATTGTATATAATGGATCTGATATTAAAATATAAATAATACCTCATAAAAAGGAATAATGAGCGATGGATCATTCATATTTATAAATGCATAACCAACATTGCATTTGTTCTGCAGTAAAATGGATTACCAACCAATAAATACATGAGAAGTGGCCACATTATAAAATAATCCAGAAACATGTTGCTCCAAACATAAGTAACTGCTCAGCAGTAAAAGATAATAAATAAAAAATCTTGCCTTAAAATCAATGGGTAAGTAAATGAAATCATATGTCCCACGATGACGTTCATCAATTGCAGCCAAAAGCATCTTTGAGGTGTACCTACACTTGCCACGAGAACAAAATAGAATAATGCACCACAGACAAAGATGAAGAAAAAAATCATTATTAGATCATCAAGAAAGTCTCTTATAAGTCGTCTAACATGAAGTGATACAACTGTCTTCAACTGAGATCCACCATGTTTCCAACATCTAATAGCCAGGTTTGGAAGGTACACTACCATATGACAGTTTCAATATTAAAATAGAACTTAATTTATAATGGTCGCATTACATTTATGTGATGCAAATGCAAACTAAAAACACGCAGCATCAAGAGGAAGCTTGTTGAGTTAATCTGTGCCGTAAAAATACAATTGCTGTTAAAACGGGAACGTCATGTGTTCAAGTTGATTGCAATAAATTAACCCCTGTAAAAGCTTCCACATATTTTCCTGAGGAGAGCATTAACAAACTAAAAAGAGGAAAGGAACTGATATGGAGAAGAGCGAGTACAAAATAAGGCATGAAACAGATAACAGAGTGTTGCAAGTACATAAATGATACAGAATCAAACATGGTCAGTGTTCCTATATTAGACTTGGCAGGTCAATCCGACATCAACATTCCAAAAATCTCAAACAAAGATATCAAGAAGAAACATGAAAATCTAGTTACTGAGTCCCATGTACATCTTACCAGCTTGACTTCTGTGTAAGTGAATAGCAAAAATGGAATTTGAAATCAAGAACACTAAAAATGTCAACTTGGAGAAATGAACTTTGAGATCTCAGAAAATTGAAGTTATAAGTACTTACTTGTTAGGGATATTCTTTATCATAATTGTTGTCCGCTTGTCTTCTCCTTGTGCAATTCGGCCTATGTCAAGCTCAAACTGTTTCTTGTTGTCAGTTTGACTCGAACTGCCTTCATTCCGACGGCTTCTGGTTTGTTCAGTTGGGTAATCAAATGAACTGATTATGGGAATCATTTGGCCTCTTTCAGGAAACATCGTGTAGTTCTGATGATGGGAGTGCAGTCCAAAACTTTTGGAAGGAATGGGAAGGTCTACGAAATTTCCCCCAGCGGAAGGAAAGATATTATGGTGACCAAATTCCATGGGAGGATATGAATGACCAGAAATCCTCATATTCCCAAGAGAACCTGGGTGGAACACAGTATAATCAGGAGATACACTGACGTAAGTGCGCTGTCTATCCCACAGAGAAGGATTGAATGATGGTGCTGATCCCACATGGAGGTTATTTATAGGTAGAAGTCCATTCAGCATGTGAGATCGTGCTCTAGGAACTGCATGCAATTGATGGGGGTGAGCATTGCCAATCTCATTGACAAATGATGGTGAGTTTGGCCACACGATGCCTTTAGGCTGAGGATAGTGTGAAGTACTCCACATGCAGTTACACCCAGGAAGAGGGCAGCTCCCAGTTCCAGAGGAACTAAAAACTGAAAGAAAAAACAGATTAAACAAAAGGCAAGTTGAAAGCTAGATTATTGGCCATTTTTTAATGTAAGTATGAAGAAGATTATTTTTTTAAACACAGCCGTAGAAGTGTTGTCAAATAAATGGGAAATCATATAATCCCACAAGAATGAAATTTCACTAGTCAGATTCGGTTCTTCCTTTTACCTAAAATGATATGCTATACAAGGACATTGGTTAGGACAAGTAAGCTTTTCAGTGTGTTCTTCACCCTTTAGCCTTATTGTCTGAGATAATTGACTTTAGGTATAAGCCTTAATACACACTGATTAACCAGTGAACCTGAAAATTAACATAAATAACTGAAAATAACAAAACAATAATTCCTTCCTACTTACCACCATCATCATTTAGATCAATTTGCTGCCCGTTAGAGCTAACTCCACCAAATTGCTGGTTTTCCATCATTTCTTGTCGTATGACACTAATGTTTGCAGTGATATTACCAGGAGAATCACAAGAAGGCCTACTAGATAAATCCCTGTGATAGTCTGGAAGTGAATGGGGATGAAAATACGGTGTGCCTCCGAGTTCAAACTTCAGATGGCTCTGTGCATGACCAGATTCATTGACATTAGATTGACATCCAATTGATCCCACCCTTACCAAAGAGCGTATGGCATCAGGAACACTAGAAGATACGCCATGGTGAAACATATTATCCAATAATGGGTTTACAGGGACTCCATTTGTCGAGTGTGCATCCATTATAGTTCCACTTTCAATACTAGAGGTGATTCCCCCGAGCAAAAATGGCCCTGGCAAAATAATTCACTCAGCATAACAAGTTTTCTGTTAACTGAAAGCTAGTTGTCAATGTGCACGATAAGAATTAATAATACCAGAAAATTCAGTTAAGTGTATAGGAGGGCTATCCCGCTGCAATTTAAGGCCAAATTCTTCTTGGTCCAGTTTTGATGAAAACTTCTGCATTATTCTACATATAACAAAGTTTAGTCCATTACACTTGGTAGAAATAAGTAATCATCACTCCAAAAGAAAGTCTTAGAGCTTGTTTGGTAGCGATTAAAATCGGATTAAAAATGAAAAACTAGACGTTATTGTTAACTTTTATTAGACAAGTGACACCCAATAACGGCTATATTTTCAATTTTAATTGGATTAAAAAACCTCCCAAACAAGCTCTTAATTACTCGAATTCAACTGATGATTGACTGCAAGGTTGGTTTCTTAAATGAAAACTGCCAGAACAAAAGGAAAGAAAGAAAGGACACAGAGGAAAGAACATAGTGAACAACAAAAGAGCTAAATATCTACCTTCTGGAGCTGTCAGGTCGGCTTGGATCGAGTATAGCACACTTTCCCTCAATGCCACTGTCATTTAATGCACGAAGAGCAGCATCTGCAGCTCTAACGTCATAAAATTCTATAAATTTGTGATTACTTCTATTCTGAGTCTCACGGATCTACATCCAGAAAACAATAATTAGTAATTTGATAGATGTACGAACAAAATCGATTAAGTTGGCACCCATGCTCACCTCCTTAATCTTGCCATAGACACCAAAAATTTGGCGGAGTTCATCGTTTGACATAGAATAGTCAAGGTTGAAAACCACAAGAATACCCTGATTAATGTCTTCTGCACATGGATTTTCCTGATATAGGTGGTAAGCAAGCAAATGTCCAGTTTATACAGTTTGTTGTACCACTAATAATTGTGATAAATAACAGCATGCATTACAATAATGAAACTATGGGCTTGTTTGGCTAAGCTTAAAATAAAAGGAACTTCTAAGCTTAGCCAAACATGTTTGTATTTAAAATTAATTTTAAATAACCTCCTTGTCCAGACATGTTTGAATGCTCTTTACAAGTTACTTTTTTGAAATTTTAGTACAAAAAATGGGCTTCTATAAAAGCATGCTCTTATCTCATTCCCAGAAAGGAATTTTACCTTCTTTAGGCTTGGCCAAACATGATACATAAACAACAGTATAAAGCAAATGAATAGAAAGAGAAACACGGTTTGAAACGTGAGTTTTGAAAGACAACAAAGCTAAACTTCACCTTTGGAATTGAGAAATGTATGTCAAGTTTCCTGTGCCATAGTGGCTTAGACTGGAGAGCTTTCATAGCATTACAGGCTGCTCTTATATCATAATATGATACCATAACATAATCCCAATGCTTGCTTGCTGTATATAGAGTGCAGATATCTCCATATTGCTACAATTCCAATTCAATACAAAGGGATGACAACAGTCAGTATGGTACAAAAAGTAAAGTATGTCTGAATTACTACTTGGAACCCCAAAATGGAAGAGTCCACTGCGTACCTCAAAAAGGGTTCGTAATTCAGAGTCTTCAATGTTGCCGTTAATATTTCTCACAAAAAGTGTTCTAGAAGGGTGCTCCCCACCATCAAAACGACATTTCGTCTGCAGATTAACTGAATGTACACCAGGAAATTTGGAATTTCTTTGCAAGGAACCATCTTCTCCTAACTCCAGTCCTCCTACACTGCTAAACAGGTCTAAATCTTCCACATCATCCCCCTTGTTAGGCCGTGCAATGCAACCAAACCCATCAGTCACACCAGAAAACAAGTCTTCATCATCGGGAAGAAGATTAGCAATAGTTTGGGCTTCAATTTCTTCAAGGGATTCAAAAGGTTCCTCTTCTTTATAGTGTGATGCAGTACCACCAACAGAATGACCATAAGGTGCATCATCTGATGATAATATTATTGCATTATAAAAATACAATGAGAAAAAATGACTGTTATTTTATATTATTCTCAGTAACTTAAATGACAGAAAGTAAATTTACAAAGCAACCAAATTTTGCATCTCAAGAAAGACAAGAAGACTGAAAGCAATTTCTAACATTCGTAAAACATTTGGAAAATGGCACCAGTTTTCAAATATGGGAAAATAATTAATAAGGTAAGCTTTGAAGTTTGAAGCTGGCTGCTCTGCTATACTACACCAGTTGTAGGGTGCTATATTAATTGACCAAGGAAAAGAAAGGACTTACACTTTCTAGCAAATAAATCTGACAATGAGCTTGAAAAAAGACCATTTTCATATCGATCACCCACAATATTTATTTCTGCTGCATCCATGCAATAAGATGCAGAACCTGCAATGGAATTAGGTCTAGCACCCAGATCATGGTTAACAGCATTTGGCAATGAATGGCTGGATGCTCTTTCTTCCCCAACTACCTGCTTCCCCGATGTAAGGTTAACTTTCCGACCACCACGTAGATAATATTCAGGAAGTTCAAAACCCTTTGCCATCTGAGAATCCACTAGGATCTTATTCTTTAGTGATGTAACAACCTGCCCTTTTAAGTGCTCCTTCTTTTTTCAAACCTATATAAAGGCATCCACCAAAAGGTAACATAAGTCTCAAAAAAGCCGAAACTGAATGTGAATATGGAAAATTCAAGTTCTTTTGAACAAATATTTATATGCAGATACTCTTTCTTAGAATGTTATTTTGACATTTATGACACACTGCTGGATTGACATATCTTTCTTTCTTCACAGTGCGCAAATTGCAAAGCAAAACATCTGTTTTGTACAAAGTAAGGAAACGAATGAAATCCTCAATCCACTCCCACCTACTCCCATTCCTGGATACACTTTTTTATTCTCTCAAAGAGGAGGAAAATATTATTAATCAGATTGACCTGATCCTGCTTTACTGTTGAAGTATTTTGCTATTATTAGAATCATGCCATAGATGGGCTGAAAATAAGAAGCCTGCAATTTGGCTGTATAGCATACTATCACCATAGAAACCAATACTGGTGTTTATATATCTAAAAACCAACCTGCCTAATTAGAGGAGAAAGAGAAAAAGTATCTAAGGTACAACGGGGAAAGTAGCTCGCAGTATTTATTGTTTTCTTTCGGCAGTGGGCTGGGAGGGAGAGGCTGAAGAGAAATGGAAGTTAATATTGTCTTAAAGTGTGTCACAATTTGTTAAACTCCCTAACAAAATCAAAGTTCATATGTTCTCCTTTAAGACCCAAATTGAACGTTGTATGGGCAACCAATACCTTGTCTGAGGAATGCTCCTCAAACAAGAACAAAGGGGTAAGGAGACAACCATGTGGGTGGTTTCATCATTCCAGATGGCATGGTGATATCTCTCCAAAAGATTTCGTCCAAGGCATCCACCACCATCAAAAGCATACCAATTCTATAAAATTTCTAGTACAATATGATTTTAAAAAAACCTGCAAGAATAATTCAAGGATGAATTGGGTGTTTGGCGAAAGGGAAGAGACTACAAAACAGTTCGAGAAACCTCGAAACAAAGACTGATAAGCTGAGGAACCCACTACTTATTGCCAAGGACAGGATAAAGCTTAACATGTATATAAATCAAATTTCAGTTACAAATCTAGCAGAGAAAAATTAGATCTTCAGTTTCATAATTGGACTGCAAAAACAATGGTTCTAAAACATATTTTTTCCTCACAAATTCACACTGTAAAAGTTTCATTTTAAAAAATTTCGACCAAAAAAGGCTATTAAATTTTCGAACAAATATTTACTCAATACGAGAAAGGACATCTTTTCCAAAATTCAACAGTTCCAAAGACAAATTCCCTGAATTCTGGAAGTTTCAGATAAGGAGAGGGAAAATTAAATTTGAGCAGATGGAGAAAACAGGACAGATCAGCTTCAGCCAAAGTTCACACAAACCCCCCCACAACCCAGCAAATTCTTCATCAGATCACCCAGTACAAGCCTCAGATATCTAAATGTGGAATCTTTGGACTTGAAAAGCCAAAAACAACAAAGGGTCAAAGCCCAAACACATTAAATACTGGAAACAAAAAGTTTAGTTTCAAAAGGCAAGCACCTCCAAGAAATCACAACACCATCTACGAGGGTACACAAAACTCAGGGCAAAACGAGAGGGACAGAAAGTAGAAGACAACGAAACCGATCAGAAGAATTTAAACAAGGCTGAGCAAATAACCTTCCAGGGTGGAAAAAAAAGGGAATAAATTGCCACAAAAGGCAAAGGAAAGAAAGAACTGAAGAGGTATCAGTAGCGTGCAAATAACCTTCAAAGCCAGGATGCCTTTCTCTTGTCTTCTTCTCTCTTTCCATTTCTCACCCCCTACATTGCACGTTAACCACATGCACTCTTCTCTCTTCTCTCTCTCTCTCTCTCTTTTATAAAACATAAACTCACCCTTTCTCTCCCTGTCACAATAAATTGCTGTCAGAGTTGCTCGCTTATCATCTCCGATAGGAATCTGTGGAGATTCCGACGAGTAATTCCCGCTCCCTTTGAGAGAAAAAAAAGATCGTTTTATATGGTTCCAAAGGAACTGAATATGAGAAAATGATACGAGAATTAGAGAGGAAGCAGTTGGGTAAGGTAATCTGGGTGGTTTCATAAATATCACGTAAAAGTTCATGCTTGATAAGGATTAATTTAAGGTAAAGCAAACAATTAATTTTAATTATATAAGAACTCAATTCATTCTTTATGCAGTAATGACATACAAATAAATAATAAAGAAAAAAAAAAGTCATTCATACTATAAGTTAATTATTAATTACTCGTAGTATTTGATTGGGAGATAGAGATGGCCTGCCCATGTTCTTTCAAGCCAAATTTGTCTTAGAGAAAGCAATGGTGTGGTGTAATGATACGTATTATTTCCTTTTATTTATGTCATTGCCATAATAAAAAGAACCGTGCTAGGACATGTGTAGAATAATTCTATTAACAATTTTTCCAAATGATATTACATACTCTCTCACTTCTATGGATCGAATGACTCGTGTACATACAATACCACTACAACACCCTATGATGAAGAGTAGCTCCTCATGTTGAGTAATGAATTCAATTTGAATTGAGATAATCTCAATAAGGGAGCTCTTACGCTTCATCCTACAAGACAAATTACACGGCAGACAACTAGAAAAAGACAAAGCAAGAGGAAACATGAGATCCATACTCCACTCCATCTCCATCCTCCACATCTCTTTGAGAGACATCTCATCCAAAGTTGTTGGCCACCTCTCCAAGTACACATATCTTTCCCTCTAAAGTGGTTCTTTGGAGTGTGACACACATGTTGAAATGGCACTTTCTCTATGAGGTGCCTCTTCTTGTCATAGTGTATTTTCGAGATGGTTGTCATCTCTAACTAATAACATCTTTTACGAATATCACCTCTATCGAAAGATATTCCATATAAAGATACTTTAAGTATTTGATAGATTTGGTAGCTTTAGTAAATATCATGATGAAGTTATATGTCAAACATTCAATGAACACGGCTTTTTCTCTCTTGATATAAGAGTTCACACTCGTACCTCCCATAAGTATGTTGATTCAAGCAATACAATAGTGAACCCAACTCGCGCCGCAAAGTTTGGCATTCTTAATTCAAATTCGACAACAATATTCTTGTTTATTGTATCTCTTTCACAAACAATCACATCAATACAATTTGTTTGACTTGAACGTCAGAGTATCTGTGATTGTCGCACCTTGTTGGAGCAATGGTCACGAGTAGCTATGCAAGTAACATAAATATGGATTGAAGAGGAGCTGAGATCTATTTATTACGCAATTCCATCGAATTTCAAGGTCAACAGAGCAACCACTAGAAAAATGTAGCAAATTTGAGAAGCACAAGTTGAAGAATATGATGGGGCTAATAGCAACTTGTGTTACATGAAAGATACGAGGCCATAACTATTATAAGCAAGGGTGAATATAGGTGGTAGGCCTTGGCTATACCACTTTCAAAATCCACATAAAAATCTTTATTTATTTTTATTTTATAACTCATATCAAATCAACTATCGTCTAGTCCTTACTGAAATTACTTCACCCAATTCTTAACACAACGCCAAATTGCACATTTGAGTCATACATAGCTTATACCCATAATCCGTCCTCAGTGTAATAAAATTTATTTATAATTTCAATCTTCATACCAACATTCAACCTAAATTCAATTTCTAATTTCATAGCCACATTCTCTGCCCCTATCTTCTGTCCAAATTCAATATCAATATCAATTTCCAAATTCTCATCCCTATATTGTCCATTTTCTTGATTCCAAGTTTTTCAACGATTTGAAAAAAGAAAAAATTATTCAAAAAAAGTGAAGAATTGTGATATATGATTCGATTTTAGATTCCCAACATGTTCCATCCTTTGGGTCTCTTGCTTCTTTCTTTGCACTTTTTCTTCCAATGCACTCAAAGCATGCTTCTTCTTGTCTTTTCATCAATTTGACAATCAAAATATCGAAAATAAGAGAAAAGTAAGGCAAATTCAATTCGAAATATTAACATATCGCATAAAAGACCCGATAAACTTCCCATTTTAACTTTCGCTACTCCTTGACCAAAACAAAACAAAACAAAACAAGAATAATAGACGCAAGAAAATATTGTGTGAACCACTCAAACTTCTTATCGCAGTTGTCTATGAGTTGGAAGCAAGCATTTAATTCAAAGAAACAAATCCCATTCATGCATTTAATAAAGCCCATTCATGCAACTTTACATGTACGACTTTTCTAAAATTCAGGGGCTGATTTGCAGGTAAAATTTGGAAGCAATAAAAAATTGTAGGGAATTTAATGTAGAATCTTTAAGGGTTAGGGGCTAATTCTAAGAATTTAGCTTGCTAGGCTTCTCTTTTTGTTTTTACTTCTTGTAGAATAACTTGTTGAGAGAGCTACTTTAATTATTGTCAACTTTTGAATTTTAGCTGCTCACTTTGACCTCTCAAATATCATGACAAACAAGCCCTGAACAACTCACGACATAATATGCATGTAGAAACTGGACTAAGGATGGCAAAAAACTCGATATCCATGGGGTCCAGCCCCGAAAGGGGAGGGGATTACCCTCCTAACCGAGTAAACGGGACGGGGACGAGACGGAGGTCATTGCTTGGAAGTGAATATGGGGTGGGTACTGGAAATATAGCATCCTTCCGCTACCTGTCTCGTTACCTACATGTTTAAAGTTAATTTAAAATTTAAACTTTTTATAAAACAAAAATAAAATATTTACCATCATTTTTAAAGAGAACATAAGTTATTCTTAATAAATTGGAAAAAAAAGTAATAATATTTACTAACTAAAGATATAACAAAATAAAATAAATAAAAAATAAATGAGGCTATAAATGGGGCATTTACCCCTTTCCGTCCCGTCCCGCTTTAACAAGGTATGGGGACAAGACAATGTGATAAAAATACGAAACGGGATGGGGGTGGGAATGACCAACCTGTTCCAACTTAGCCCGTTGTCATCCTTAAGTTGGATATGGTCAAATGTATTTCATGTATGCGTTATTTTTATATTATACTCCACGTTTCAAGACAATGTCAATTGTCACTCTTTTTTTTAACCATATATTTTGTAGGATTCACGACTTTTCAACCACCTATTTTATCAATTTNTTTTTTTTAACCATATATTTTGTAGGATTCACGACTTTTCAACCACCTATTTTATCAATTTTTATCAAATTACATTAAGAATTTGATTTTAATTCCCACAAGATGGGCATGGTGTCATCGATTTATTAAAAAAATGATTGTTTCATGCATAAAATAAAAAGTCAAAAGGACAAAGTTGGTGCAAATTATAAACCTGATGACTCATATATCAAAAAGATAAGAATAGGAACCGAACGGCTATATTAGGCAAACCTTAGGGTACTTTGTGGAATTACAATAAAGTAATGGGTACTAATTGAGGTAGAAAGTCTTCTGGTCAGATACATCTGCGTTAGGAAGAGGTGGCTGTCCGAAATGGCTGTACACTTGCCTAATTCTGCACTGTCGGCGACGGAGGTATGCTTTCCGGCGGCTGGGCTGCCAAATCAACGGCTGGGAACGGCTGAACTTCGTTTTAACACTCCCTCGAGGACACTGAAGATCCGTATGTCAGCGCTGGACCGTAACAGTATTGGTGGAGGTGACAATAGCATCAAGAAGGCGGCGACACCTAATTTGAATTACGTGGTTCCGCTGGACAAGTCCTCCTGCATCACTCGCCCCCTTGCCGAGATCCTGCGAGACCTCAACAAGAAGATCCCTGATAATATCGTCAAGAATCAGGATGATCATTCCACCTTTATCCCCTGGTAAGTAAGGATGAAAGTATACCAATTATTTTTACATTTTTATTCTTAGTGGCACTTTAATTTTCTAATTTACATGCTACTAGTGCTATATTTTTGTTGCGCGGGTCTTTATTGTTGCTCTGAATCTCTGATGATGATATTTTGTGCGCCTCTGCCTAGGTACCAGGCCAACCGCATGCTGAGCTTTTACGCCCCAGGTGAAGTTTATTTCCATCAATTTTGATGCTAATTACACCAGGAATTTACCTGACATATCTTTGAATTAGTATTTGTGTTTTCTTCTATTTCTCATCTTCTATTATAAATGATTATGGGAGAGTGGAGACTTCATATAAGACTTCAAGTTCAGGATTCTGTAACTGAGAAATAAGGGGAAGTAGAGATGAGAATTGGAGAACTGTAATTTCTCAAATTATCTGAATATGGTTGAAATAAATGAAATGTCAATGGCTAACCACATGTAAATGTACTTTATTTATTTTTATTTTTCCTTGTAAGCATGTTATCCTGTTTTCAGTTAGAACTGAACAAAATTAATTCAGCATTTCTGTTTTCTTTCTCCTGGAAACCCCATCCAAATGATTTAAGCCCAAATTTTGTTCTACAAGGCTGGCCTTCAAAGAGGATTCTACATAACTTTATGAACTTCACAGGTTATAAGGATGGCCTTTATAGAAGATTCATTTTGAAGTGTAATAATATCGGACGAAAAACATGTTGATTAGGGAGGCGACGAAGAACCCATAGTGTTTAAGCTTCATTTGGTCATATGTAGAATTTTGTTCATTGGAAACACTTCCATGGTAAATATTTTTGAGGTGAAAAATATGTTTGGTCGGCAAAGGATGGTAGTATGTGGTGGTGGTGGTGGTGGTGCTATTGATTTTATAGTTGTGGCAGTTGTCTTTGTTGCCAGAAGGTTGCCTGTGACTTGCTAGTGGGTGATGGTGCTACCAACAGTCTAATAAGCGTGCAAGGGAGGGCATGATGGTGGTGGTGGGTGTTGGGTCTGGATGAGGTGATTTATACTGATTGTAAACTAAACCGAGAACCATTAACCATCCTGTATCCACCTGCAAATTCTTGGCTTGTATTTAACAAAATTAAACTAAATAACAAGTGGTTCATCTGTTGGCCGTGGTTGAATACCGGCATTGATAAGATTTTGGCTTACCACTACAATGCTTTGTTGGTTCTTATTGTTCTCAAACACCTTCAAACCACGGAACGACAGATGGACCATATACCATAGTCTTGAAAACCGCACATAATCATTCCAATTGCTGATTTTAACCATATTATATGGGCCTTGCCTCTCTCTTCAAAGAATTTCCAACCTCTCGTCCAGCTCCTTGCCCCTACAGCCCACCAAAAGTGGAATGTACATAGCCCTCCGTTTATTTTTTATTTTATTGTATATTTTTTTGAGACATAAAACATGTTATAGACTGGTCTTTGTCAATACCCCAGAATTGGGTCAATGGAATCGAATTTGGTGAGTGACCTAAATTGTCAACAGAAACGGAATTCTATGCACAACCCTGTGTTTCTGGACAAATTCCATCATTAAGCAGTCAAGCTTGCATTTATATTAGATTTTGACCTTTTTTTGGGTTATCTCTGTGAATGTTACTTAGCAGTCATATGGTAATTTCTAGATTTTCCTGTTGCACCAGTATTTTTTTCTTTTATTAATTTTTCATCTTTCCCTCTTATTGTTGCATTGTATGAATAAGACCACTGAGGTCTGCAACAAAGGGGAATTTATTAAAAAAGAAAGAAAGAAAATTGAGTGTTCTCAATTGTGTGTCCAAGTTTTTGGTATTCAATGTGAAACGAGGCTAAAATAATTGGGTTTTGCATGATTCAAAGAGTTTTTGATGCTCATTTCTCAGTATTCACGAGGAAATCAACATACGTTACGAGTTATGTCTTGATATTTGCGTATGTGTTACTTTGCAAGTTGGTATTGGAGTCTTTTTCGCTCTTGTGAGCACGTTGCCAAGTAGATGTCAAACTGTGAAGTATCACTAAAAGGATATCTGGACGTGCAACAAGAGAGGACTCCAAATCAGTAGCCTATGGATAAGGAGTCCAACAACAACGATTAAGTCCCTTAGGGATAATTCTAAGGCCCAAAATTTTATTATAGAACATTCTTGGTCAAAGATCTAGAATTTGGTCAATGGAGTCAAATTTGGATAAATCACCTCACTTTTTCACATTGAAATGGTCAGTAAAATTTTTGTTGACCTTAAAGCCATGTGAGTTTTGGGCACATTCCATCATTTATGGCATTCAACACACATTTTTATTATGAGATTGTGTGGTTGAAAATGAGTATGAGAAAAAAAGAGTTTTGAAAGAATGGTTGTCAAACACGGGCATATATATATATATTTATATAAGAGCTATAGGGTCTTTTGAAGTGGTGCTTACTGAATAAAAAAATTGGTTCCTAATTCTTGGTGTTCAACATAAATTAATTAGTTCAGATTCTTGATATTTTATGTAAATCAATGACTTTTTTATGCTTATTTTCTAGAATTTGCTTGTTAGAACTTGAACTAGAAAATTGTTCTTTAATTTTGTATTTCACGCTCTCATACACGCTTGTCCGCATCATGATTCCAATGCAAAGTTATATCTACCATTGAGACTAGTCTTTCTTGAATGGGATCAAATTCACGAGTAAGAAACTCAAATTGCATGGAACAAGAATTAAAAAATGAATTATGGGTTTGTAGAATGCCTTAAAATCCATTTATACACATGATTTAGATGGATCAATTGAATTTGATATAATTCACTATTAACTCGTACTAATTTCTGAAGCTGCTTGGATCCAACCCAACCTGCCCATTTACCACCCTAGGTGACAATGGAAATAGGAGTCATGGTTATACATTTAGAAATATTTTCATCTAAAATATTTTGTGCAAAAGCTGAATTTGAATTCTTGAAACAAGAATAAAGTTGAAAAGCTCGAAAATTTGTAGAAAATAATTTAGGGCGTGTTCGGTAGATATTGAAATTGGATTAAAATTGAAAAACTAGCTGTTATTGTTGACTTTTATTAGACGGGTGAGACCCAATAACGGCCATATTTTCAATTTTAATTGGATTTTAAACTGTACCGAACATGCCCTTATTGTATTGAATTGGTTTTTTGGAATGATATAAAAGCTTTTGTTTATATAGGTAAAATAATCTCTTAATCTAATAGCTGAAGGAAGATAAGTAATTAAAACCTTATAGACTAGGGATAAAGAACCTAAAAAAATAAAAAATCCTAATCTAAACAAGAAATAAAATCCAATTACAATAAGAAATAATTCCTTGTCCTATTTGTAATAGAATTTTCCAACATCAATATCTGTTCCGCCTCCTACTCTCTCCCCTTGAACTTAGTATGATGATGTTCTTTCCCACAAAAAACTTCCCTATATGCTAACCACACATTTGAACACGAGGAAAATATATAGGACCATAATAAAAGGAGTCTAACACTGTTTTTGCAGGTTGGTGTGGAGAAATACGCGATGTTATATTTGCTGATAACGGAAGTGTGACTGTGGTTTACCGTGTAACTGTACGAGGTTTGGATGGAGAGGTATGGTTTCTTTACATGCAATCCTCTGCCACCTTAGTCATTTTTATATCACTATAATTACTTATTCGATCGTAGGTACTTGTTTTTATTTTCCAGTTAACACAATTTAGTGCGATCTTTAAGCTTTAATAGGGAAAAACAGCTAAATTTGTAGCCTGAGCTGGTAGTCCAAAAGATATAGTGACTTGAGCTTAACGCTACATATTCATCTATCCTGGAATTTTCCATTATGCACTTTATAATCAACAGTTGTTATATTGTAGCCTTTAATTATTCTGAACGGTTAATTCCAACGTAATCTTTCTTCTTCTTGAGTTCACATTTCCTGGGTTCTTTGGGGATTTCTGCAGAAGCTATTCCTGCATAAAGGAAGAATCCAGTGTTTCTTGAAATGGCCAGCCCATACCTCTCACATGAAACAACAGACCGTAAGGAATAAAAGGGAAATGCTACTAAAAGCTTTCAAAAGACTATATAAGACAATCATAGTTGAAATTCGTTTGTTGATGTGAACACTTGATCTAAAACTGTTTACTTCTAATCTTAGGTATGAAATCTAGATCTCCTTAAATGTCTTTTACTCCTGGAAAGCTAAATCTGCCTTATGTTTTAAATTCACAATCCTGCCCTAGGTAAAACTAATTGTCTTAAGCAAAGAAAGCTCATAAAAAATTCAACGGATATCAATATTGTGTTAGAACCCATGAAAAGGTTTTCATATCATCTACATGGGTGCACATAAATGTTGTCTCCTTAATACATAGCAATCTCAAGTCAGTAACTATCTCAGCCTTATTTCCCTTTCAATTGGAAAGTATTGCATTATACTTTAAGCACGTTTCCTTGTAATAAATTACAAAGTTAGTAAGTAATGGGAGGTGACATATATGGAGAGGCGTTAGGTTAATTTACCTTTCAAAGTGCTAAGATAGTGATTGTTGTTTGCAGGTGGTGTTGGATGGTGACTTTTTGATTTGTGTACAGGGTAGGGGCAGGGGCAGGGAAGAAGGGAAACTGTTGGACTTTGTCCTCGTTTTTCTACTTTCCAACTAGTTGAACTTGTAGAAGCGTAAAAAGCTTCAGTTTTTTCAAGTCATCCAAAATTGCGTCAAGTCAAATTACGATATTGTGTTTGGGACCGAGGGTGTAAAATTTTATAAATCGAACTATAGTTCACATCCCTTGGCTTTGTTAAGGAAACCTCATAATGAGGATCATGGCTTTGTTAGGGAAATGGCCTAGAGATTCCGTTCAGCGTATTCTTCCTCGTGGGGGTGGGATTGTGTGGAGCAAATAATGGTATGAACCCAAATGGTTGGAACTCTAGAAATATTTTGACTTAATTCAGAATCCTGTGAAAATTTGTATCATAGAGATCTTTTTCTTCCATTTATTTCACAAAATGAGTTCTGGAAGCAGCAGACTTGTTTGATTGTGGAAAGACGTGTAGATTGCCTCCAGTTCTTTTGCTTTGGCCCACAGATTTCACGACCTTCCATTTTAAGAAAATGTTCCAATTAACTGTCAACAATAAATTGGAACTTCAGTTTGTTCGTAATTTGCCGTATAGTGAAATTTCAGATTTGTCTTCTTTGTTGGCTATCCTTGATAGCAGTGTGGAGCTTTTTAGATAAGGAGATTGTGAACATTGGATTCTATGGTATCTTTTCTCATAACTCTATTTTCAATTTTTTTCTTTTTATATTTTATATAAAACACTAGGCAGTCTGGAGGGTTTGGTGGTGCTTCAATTCATCATCTGTAGAAGGGGCATCTTCTTCGTTACTAGTGCAAAATCAGTTGCTATTTTAAAATTATAATCCAGGTCTTCGTTAAGCACTCTTTAAGAGAGCTTCTTTGGAAATGTTCTTCTAATCATTCATCTGGCATCCATAGGCAAGGGGGACAACCGGAATCATATTGTTCCATGCTTTAACCAATTTGCCTTTTTTTTTCTATTCCTATCATTCATCTGCACCCATAGAGCTTTTCTGAGTTGGTTTCTAATGATAGCAACAAATGAATGATGCAGGCACATCGCGAATCGACCGGAACAGTATCACTTGGCGATGGAGATATTACAGATCCCGTTGCTTCAGCAGAGGAAATAGCGTTTTGCAGAGCATGTGCTCGGTTTGGTCTTGGCTTGTATCTTTATCATGAAGAGTAGAAGCTCGACTCTTTCCAAGCTAAATTTTCGAATGTTTTGTGTGCTTTATTCGATGAATGTGACAATAATATATTTGTTTTCTTGCTCTTAGTCCTAGTTGAATCGAATAACTCTCATTTCCAGATTTTTGTATCTACTATATTGGATTGCATACACCAAATCTTGAGGTTGAGGCGTTTGTAGAATTGATTAATCTTAGTCACGAACTATATTCATTGAATTTTTTTTCCAGCGGCATAAATTTGGTCCTACACTTTCTTCTGTGTCTCAGTATTGATCATATTTTATTTTTCTTAAAGGAGCACCTTTCAAGTCACTTGTAAGCTTAACCAAACATGGTTATACAACTATTGATCATATTATATTTTCTTTTTACTAAATTTTGTAATCAAGCTATGAAATAAAGAAACATTAGTCTTCTTTAATTAAGGTGTTGTTTAGCCGTGCTTATTTGAAAATCATTTTTTCTCGAACTCATTTAGAAATTAGAATTATAAAATTTTCCAATAAATATTTTGCATGTAACCAGGACTTTTCTTATTTTTTTAAACACACATTCTTCAAAAAATTGTCTTTGAGTCTGTTGAGGGAATGTACGTATGCAAGGACAAAGAGTATTGGCATAAATATGTTAGGGAGAATTTTTCTTTGTTGAAATTGGTGAAATCAGCAATGGAGTTTGTCAAAACAGCACTTTTGTCCTGGTAATAATAGGACTTCTGTGTAACACATTACTTAGTCTTGAACAAAATAACTTTGACCCATGTCTCAATGATGTGCTCCCCTTTCAGCAATGAAAATGGTCGATATTATTGCCTACTCTGAATTTTCCCTACTTCTAATTGTTGATTTTAACGCTTTCTTTGCAATGTTTTGGACAGGGTTATAACGAAATTAATGTCAAGAATGTAGGATCCTAACATTAGTGGTGTCAAAATGGACAGGTTGGTTCGTGACAATTCCGATTAGCGGGCTGAATCTTCATTGGCCTGCAAAAACTTTTATTGTCCTGGGGGACAGCCTTTGACCCGGAAAATTGCTAGCCGGTCCAGTCCAAACCGGGTCGGACCACCTTGCAAAAAGTGGTCTCCAATCCGTTTTGGAAGAAAAGAAAGACAGCCTTAATTTGGCCTCAAATCCTGTCGGGAACAATACATTTCTAAACTATTTACTTTACACATTTTCAAAAATACAAAAACAAGTTTGAAAATTCACAAATCAGGTTTTTTAAATTTTTAATTAATAATTAATGA